CACATTAAGAAAAATGCTGTTCAATTAATGACTATTTTCGGAAGAAATCCATTGATTTTTTTTCCTCTCAGGCATTAAAATATTGCATATAGTAATTCTACCAAAATTCACTTACTTATCCTATTATCTTACCTACTTTGTTAAATCTCATAGGAAATGATCTTTACCTCTATTTGGATAGTGAACTTATTATGCAGGACGACTTGTCTACTTACACCATCTCATTTTGGAGATTTGAGGTCAAGTTTTACTTTAGTTAACACAGACTCCTTGCATTGATCTCTTCCCTCATACTCTCATAAATAAAGTTTTATGTTTTTAGGGAGGAAAGCATATGAATGATGCATACAGTTTTATAAGAGGCACAGTATAGTTCAATAAATAAACATAATTAGAGTTTAGTCCAGCAGAAAAAGGCCTCCTAGGAAGTAGGAGTGACTAGTCATGATTCTTTGGAGAAACTCTCTCTGCATGAAGCACATTCCTAATGTAGGTGTTAGGTCACCCAGGGTCCCTGTTGATGCAGTATGTCCTGTCTCTTAACTATAGGGTCAGTCAAGGGCTTGTCTTTAACTCCTTTCTCCTCTGGACTGAATTTGGACTTCTGGCTTCATGAAAACATGTTTATATGCATAGTTACATGTAAAATATATTTATTCCTTATAAAAGGCAAAAAGGAGAAATTTTCTAAAGTTAAAAGTGCCCACATAAATTAGACCCTTATTTCCAAAAGCAGTTCATTTATGTAAACCTTATCTTTGAATAACTCTGAATTAGACACTAACATCATGTTTAACTTCAATTAAACATGGCAAAAGCTTCACAACCTTCTCTAGTCACTCAGCCATTCACTTCAAATGCTTTCAGGTCAAATTTGAAATAGAAATACTTTGTGAGCAATCTTGTGCTATTTGCTGCTGAGGCCTACAGTGAATGCAAATAAACACTAAACCTACTCAATCTAAAAAAAAAAAAAACATAAAATGCTATGAATTATTACTTTCCTTCCTAGATGGCCAAGAGAGTTGCATGATTAATCTTGTTCTATATAATATAGCTAAACTCTCTCTTCTATCCAACAAAAACATAATGTTCCAAGTTTAAGAAATCCATGTGGTCTGAGCTGAATTTTTGTCTGATTGAGTCGGCATGGATCTTGTGCACGCTGTCAGCCCCCAAACCTAATCTTGAAACTATTGGCAACTGATTACTGCTGGGTGAAGGAGAGTAGATCTTCTTTAGGGAGTGACTCTACATAGGCTGACTAGACTCCAGTGGATGATCTTGCACCAAAGGACATCTAGGTGCAAATACTTCATGGGAAAGGACTGCATGCATATAGACAGAATGCATGAAATCTGGTAGGGTGGGGGGCTATGGGAGTGTGAAGATAGGGGAATGGGTCTAAATTTGATTGATATCTATTATGTGAAATGCACAAAAACTCAATAAAATATTTTTAAATGTTCAACAACAACAAAAAAAGAAATTCATGTAGTCACAGAAATTGGAAATTTATCTAAGACTATCAGCCATTTTTGAAAAGGAAGAAGAGAAAGCATTTAATTAGAATTTTGTATTAATTTTTAATCATGGCAGAGACAGTTGTCACAATGACTAGTTGAAAAATTGTGTTTTGATGAATGTAGCAGAGAATAATTTGGAAGACTGGTTCTCCTAGCATCACTTGTAACACAAATGGATTCAGTAAAGCACTACTACACATATAAGTGTAGGAACAAATCTTAAAGGTTCTTTCAACTCCAAACATTATCTTTAAGTATAGAATTTATCTACATATTCTTTATGTTATATATAGGAGTTAGAACTAGACACAGTCAAGTGACTATAGATAATGATAAAGTTTTGCATATTTCAATATAGCTAGAGAGGATTTTGAGTGTTCTCACAACAAAATAATGATGTTTGAAATGATAAATATTAACTTTATGTTGATTGAAACATTATATAATATATACCAGGTTCAAACATTGCCTGTATCTTATAAATATGTACATTTATTATGTCTTATGAACATTTTAAATGTTGACATTATTAATACTCTTTATCAAGTAATTCAGTAAATGCCTATAGGAAACAATTTACATGCATATGGTTGCTCCCCAGTTGAGAGAAGAATTCTGTGGAAGAATTCTTCGAAAGATGAAATTCTAAAGTTTAGTTCTCCTTTCTTAATATCTTAAATAAAGAATCCACTAAACATTCTCAGGGCTTTTTTTTTTTCCTTCAAATTTTTTTTTACAGGAAGACCAGTGAATAGCTGTACCAGTCAATTATGGATGTGCTAAATAAAAATATACCTATTAACAGAGAACAGCAGTTCAGTCACTCAGCAAACATGCTGTGCAGCAACCCTGCTGATCCCTCAGTATTAATTCTTTTAAATATGCTCCACTGTTAAAACTCCCAGAACAATACTTAATAAATAATGAAAGGCAAAAGACTTTTTGTGGAGCAATTATCCACCAGTCAATTATGGATGTGCTAAATAAAAATATACCTATTAACAGAGAACAGCAGTTCAGTCACTCAGCAAACATGCTGTGCAGCAACCCTGCTGATCCCTCAGTATTAATTCTTTTAAATATGCTCCACTGTTAAAACTCCCAGAACAATACTTAATAAATAATGAAAGGCAAAAGACTTTTTGTGGAGCAATTATCCTATCTGATAGAGTAGCCTAATTAATATTTTTAGAGAGCTACATAGAAGATTAGTAGTTTATATTCTGAAAATATTTTAGAATAAAGTACCTGCATCATGTTATTTCAAAATATAAGTGTATATGAATTGAACCTAATAGGAAAGGGAAAAATTTACTTATGTATATGAAGAAAATATATGTTCACAGTTAAAATGTTTTTGTATGTTAGCTGGGCATGGTGATGTACTAAGGAGGCAGAGGCAGGGGGATCTCTGAGATTGACACCAGTTTGGTCTATAGAGAGTTCCAGGCCAGCTGGGGTTATGGCAAAGCTCTGTCTAAAACAACAGCAGGTGTTTTTGTATGATTAGGTACTATTTTTAAGTTTTCATGAAGTATTTTCTCAGTGATCATTTTACTAAATATCTAATGAAATAGTTGGATCCAAGATTCTCCCTATACAATATAGTGTTATATTTGCTGTGAGGTTTGTATTTTGATATGATTGTTTTCAAACTGAACCAGGATCTATGAAGGAAAACCAGATACAATATCTCAAATAATTATAATTAAGCATTTTCTTCACATAAGGACATGGAAAAATTTACATTGTTTATCTTTTTATTTAGATAGGTCTTTCCTTTACTCTTCCCCTAATATGTACTCCACTGTTCTTCAAGGTACAACTTTTATTTTGCTATTGGTTTTCTTCCATTTTTAAAAGTAGGATATTTCAAAGCCAGTGAGATGACTTAACCTGTGGCCAGGCCAAATGACCTGAGTTCAAATCTCAGGACAAACATGGTGGAAGGAGAAGACTGACTCCTAGAAGAAATTGTCCTCGACCATCATAGACCTATAGACCTTCTATCTCTCTCTCTCTCTCTCTCTGTTTGCCTACACTAAATAAGTAAAAGGGTAAAAAAACATTTAAAAAATTAAATTACAACAATCCAAACTGTTCCTTCCAGTAAAGAACACGAACTCTACTCATCTAAATTAAATATGTAGCACTCTCAGTGTTCTACTTTTATCCTTCTTAAGAATGATTCCTCACAGTTAATTGTTATAGAACCACAACAGGTATGATGGTATAATCATATAATCCTATAATCCTACCCTTCAGGAGGCTGAGGCAGACAGTAGTATTGAGAGTTTGAAGCCAGCCTAGGCTATGGAATGAGACCCTAAATCAAAAAATATACCCGTGTCTCCTGAAAACCATATACTTCCCAGAGGAGATGGTTACGCATGGGCAGTCTCACTGAGCCCTAGGTGTGGCCTGTTGACAACAACAAAGGCTGTGGTAGCCAAGTCCTTGGTTTTTGAGCCTTGCCTCATCTCTGACTATAGGAGAGCTTTGCAGGGGCTGCTCTGGTCGGAGGGTCCTTTAAAGGAGCTGACACAGCAGCATACAGCCTCTCCTTATACTCAGAAATTCACAAGTCTGCAGGCTGGCTAGTTCAGAAGCTGCTGTGGAAATTGTACAGCATGCCATTACATTTTTGGAAGCCAGTTTGGCAATGTCAACTAAATAAGAAATATATTTTCATTGATCGAGCAATTCTACTTCTAAGAACTTACCTTAAGGAAATTATATCCAAGAGAAATAAATAGTATATCCAAGCATCCATCAAGCCAAGGACAGAAGAAGTAGATGTAAACAAACCTTTCCATTTAATACTTGTTTGTTTCCGTTTTCTGGGGAAACCACAGTACTTCTGAATATGGGAGGAGTGGGAAGACATAGGAAAATAGAATCATGGTTTGTTCTGTTGTTTTATTTGTTTTGTTTTCCAAACAGGGTCTCCCTGTAGCCTTAGCTGGTGTGGAACTCATGTAGACCAGACACCAGACTGGCCTCCATTCAGCTGCATGTCTTTTAAATACATTTTAATGTAA